GAGAACGACCCGAGTCGGGTAGCTCGGTTACCACATGCCCAAAAATACTACAAACATTACGCTTCTGTTGAATTGATTTTTCGACTTCAGTGGCGGGTCGAGTATATTCATTATGGCTTGAGCAGGTTGATTGCGTTTTATTTGATTATGCTTCCGTCGAATTGATTTTTCGACTTTAGTGGCGGGTCAGGTATATTCATTATGGCTTGAGCAGGTTGATTGCGTTTTATTTGATTATGGTTCTGTCGAATTGATTTTTCGACTTCAGTGGCGGGTCGAGTATATTCATTATGGCTTGAGCAGGTTGATTGCGTTTTATTTGATTATGGTTCTGTCAAATTGATTTTTCGACTTCAGTGGCGGGTCAAGTATATTCATTACGGCTCAAGCAGGTTGGTGGTTGATTTATTTTTCAAAGGAATATACAACAAGCTTGAATCTTAAACTTTGAACTGAGGGGTGATAGGACGAGGGGATATAAGGGAGCTCGAACATGGTGATCGAAACACAACAGACGTAAATTCAAATTTTCAAATTCAAGACTTCGGTCAATGGTCTCTTGATTCTCAGTTTTCGACCTCAACTGTCTCTCGACTCTCGGTTTTCGACCTCAGCGGTCTTGATTCTCGGTTTTCAACCTCAACGGTCTCTCGACTCTCGGTTCTCGACCTCAGCAGTCTCGATTCTCGGTTTTCGACCTCAACGGTCTCTCGACTCTCGGTTTTCGACCTCAGCGGTCTTGATTCTCGGTTTTCGACCTCAGCGGTCTCGACTCTCGGTTCTCGACCTCAGCGGTCTCGATTCTCAGTTTTCGACCTCAACGGTCTCTCGAATCTCGGTTTTCGATCTCAGCGGTCTTGATTCTCGGTTTTCGACCTCAACGGTCTCTCGACTCTCCGTTCTCGACTTCAGCAGTCTCGATTCTCGGTTTTTTACCTCAATGGTCTCTCGACTCTTGGTTTTCGACCTCAGCGGTCTCGATTTTCAGTTTTCGACCCCAACGGTCTCTCGACTCTCGATTCTCGACTTCAGCGGTCTCAATTCTCGGTTTTCGACCTCAACGGTCTCTCAACTCTCGGTTCTCGACCTCAGCGGTCTTGATTCTCGGTTTTCGACCTCAATGGTCTCTCGACTCTCGATTTTTGACCTCAGCAGTCTCGATTCTCGGTTTTTAACCTCAACGGTCTCGACTCTTGGTCTTCGACCTCAGCGGTCTTGATTCTCGATTTTCGACCTTAGCAATCTCGACTCGCGGTTTTCGACCTCAGCGGTCTCGACTCTCGGTTTCCGACCTCCGTGGTTTTTCGGTTTTCGATCGTGAGATCTCAAAGCTCATTTGGAGGATATTTTAGTGGTTATTCAATGGTCATTCGACTTTCGATGCTCGATCTTAGTGGCAAGTCGAAGAAAACATCTCAAAGAGGCATTTCACGCTTGGATCGAGTTATGCTTACTCGACCAGAGTGGGGGGGACTAGATGATATATGATATTATACTAGACCCGGTTTAATGGATAAAGCGGATACATATTGGAAGATAATCCCACTAAGACATCTAAGCCCAACGATAGGGGTCAGGCCCAACTTGGGCCCAAAAGGTATGCTTCCCCTATAAAAGGGGGCCAAGGTACCTCATTCTCTTATTCTCGATTCATTACATTACTACACTTTCTCTCTCTTGAGCTGAGCACTGACTTAGGCATCGGAGGCCCGACGCCGGGGCCACCCCCGGCGTTGGGTTCTGCAGGTACGGAGGCCGGTTCGAGTTGAAGGAGCCCAGGTGAAACTTATTCACTTCAACACCCAATCGCACTCATACTCTTCCGAGCAGTGCTGAAACTAATTTTCGGTCGAGCAGACGCATGAGTCCAACAAGTTTAACGAGAAGCTCGACTAGATTCTTAATTTTATAAAATCCAAAGCAGCTCGTGAACAAGAGACCGCCTACAATAAAAAAACTTGATCGGGCCCTCGCTCTTTTGCAATCTCAGGTAGCCCGTAGGAGCAATCTTGAGGGCGAGAACGTGAACTTAGTGGAGCACATTCAAGTTATAGAGGACCGAGTTTTCTCTCATGAGTCCATCATGCAAGACGGGTTTACACATATGGGTGGACTGCGAGAGGATACCTTGACGAGCAATGAAAAAAGTCGACCTCATCCTTGCTCGTGTGGCGGCCCAAGCAACTCGACTAGAGGAGATTGAGGTGGGATGTACCCGAATGGTGGATCAGCTCGATGGGATAATGAATCACATTCAATCCGTCAAGCAACAAGTCGATGAGACCTTAAGCACTAACTATCAGATTTACGAGGGCGAGATAGAAGAAGAAGAGGATGTGCTCCCAGCAGATGAGGCTGATATTTTGATGGAGGTAACTTTTGAGCCCGCATTCGAGAGTCCCTCATTTGAGCAGTCATGCCCCATCAAGAAGGCCCCAGTGGTCCTGTTATGCTCCACAGATATTCTTACCCTTCCATTGGTTGACAATGGAGTTTCGGTAAAGAAAGCTCTAGGCCACTTCGTTACTCCACCTTGCTCTCATGCCCAGTTTCAGAAGAATATTGCTACCCGAGACACCCGTGCCTGCCTTCCGGACTTAGTGTCAGCACTACCACTTCCCAAAAATACAAAGGCGTGGCACGACTGTCATTTCTTCCTAGATCCCGATTGAGTTCCCCTCAGGTTTCGTCAAGTTAATGACGTTAAACAAGCGCTTCTTGAGAGGCAACCCAAGTGATTTACCGCTTTTCTAGACATTTTTCTTTATGCTTTTTAGTATTATCTTGTAATAATTGGAGTTTGGAGTTTTGTGGTTTTCTCGACAGGTACTATTTGAGAGCTCGAGCAGGAGGAGTATCGAAGCTTTGGGTAGAGCATAGGCGTGTAGGTTGCTCGTGGAATCTCTTTCTGCCGAGGCGTTTTCGGTTTGCACCCCCTTTTCCCTTTTTATTGTAGTTTGTTTTCTCCTTCTCTCCTTTCTTTAGAGTCCTGTGGTAGTTGCTGGTGCTGGTTTGTTTTATGAAACTGCTAGATCCTATTATTTGATTCCATATTTTGTGTTGAAGCAATGAGGTCATTGCCTCATTCTAAGTGTGGGGAGTCTATTTGGATTTTGCATGTTTATATGGTGGACCGGTCTAGTTTTAGGTTTTCTGTGTCCATGAGCATGGTATTGGTGGATTATAAGTTGTGTTGATGAATGTTTGATGAAATTGGGAAGTTGTGATAACGAACGTGTTGGTCATTGCCTCGGTATTTGCTTGATTGCTTTGAGTGACATTTATCTGCCTTGTGAGGTTTTGAGCCTTACTTTTTCTTCTCGTGAGATATTGGTCATATTCTTGAATGATTAAAACTTGCCTTGAGTTTGTTTGAAAGAAATCGATTAGAGTTTGAAATTGCGAATATGATTGAGGCGTTTTGCTTGACTAGCTCACTTCTGCCTTGTTCTTTGGACCTAAAATTTATTCCACTTTTAGCCCCTTGAGCTTAAAACCTTTTCTTGTCAACCTATTGACTGATTTCTGTGATGATTTGGGGATTGGTGACATTTTTGAATATGGTGGATACTAAGTTGCATTTTATTTGCTTGACCAGTTAAAAAAAAAAACATGAGAGCTCACAGGACGATTAAAATGGATTCTGCTCCTCTTACTAGTCGATTCATGTTGACGGGTAATGAGCATTTGGAAACTACTATAGGACACTTGGATGACCTCCAATGTTCACACCTATAGAATGTTGTTCTTTTGATTCGATCTTGTTCGGAAAAAGTTACTTTCCGAATAAAAAATATATATATAAAAAAACGAAAATGTTGCAATTCGATTAGAGCAGCTGGGTGTTGGTTGTGGAGTTGTTTGGTGGATGGTGAATGTGTTATATTGTTTATTCCAGATTGGTAGCGGAGAACTCGAGTAATTTATTATCTCGAGAATTTTGTTGTTTATTTGAGCTTCTTTTCTGGCATATATATCCTTCCTTAAACCCGCATTACAACCTATGAAGTCCTTTTGATACGCATATTTTGAGCGTTGATTGTCTTCGAGTAATTTAAACGATTAACAAGCATATGTTAAACTTGAATATTGACCAATTTTGAGGGTACCTATCATATATTTATGTAAGAAAATGAGTGAGGCATATATGATGACTATGTTTTGAGAGTTTGTCATTTCAAGGTCAAGTTGATAGTTGAGGCATATAGTCGTATGTTCGTTGGAATTCGACTCAATTGAATTGGGCATTTTGAGACTCTTCTTATATGAAACCGTATCCATGCTCGTATCTTGTTTTTTTTTTTTGTTTGGGACGAACAAAGGTTTTAGTGTGGGGGAGTTGTTTGTCCCATTTTTGTTGCGTTTTTCGTTGATTATTTTCCTTTCTTTTTCCCCATTTTTTTTCTTTTCGTTGGGTTTTGTTCGTTGTGTGTAGGTTGAAAGTCTCGAAAGGATTGGATTTTAAGCGAGAATTGACTTGCAAGCGCAATTATATAGAGCTTTATGTTGGCATCGCACGAGAGAAAACGGAATTAAATTCCGATACCAAACGAACCTATTCGAGCCCGAGACACGAAATCGTACACGGAACTCACAGCTCCAGGCCTCGTGCGCGCATGCCGCGCCGCGCCACCACCACGAGATCAACAGAGAGCAGAGTCTATCGTCGCGCCGCGAAGGCCTGCACCCCGCGACAACGCATCCTCCCCGCGCCGCGGCACAGCCCCGCTCTGCGACGCTGTCCCCGCCTCGCGCCGCGCTGCTGCCACGTAGCCAACAGAGACATTGCTTTCAGCCTTGCCACACCGTGGGAGTTCCTCGCGCCATGAAGACCAACAGTGCCGCGCCGCGGAAAGCTAACATGTCGCGCCATCACAAGCAGAATCCTTCTACCACGCTGCACCATGGAAATCCTTCGCGCCGCGGCGCCCTGCCGTGCCGCGCCTCCCATCCCTGCCGCGCCGCTGAGCTATGTCGCGTCGTGACATGAGTATCTTATGCGCCCGTAATGATTTTTCTCACGCTGTGAACTACGATTGATATAAATATGCCATCGAGATCAGAATTTTGGACAACTCTCGACCGGGGGTGAAAATCCTAGGTCCCGAGAACACCACAAACACTCCTTTTGTCCTTCCTTTCTCTTCTCTTCTTCTCCATCATTTTTCTTCTTCTTTTTACCATTATTTTCCATTTTTCTTCTTCTTCTTCTTCTTAGTTAGGGTTTAAGTTGTATTTCAAATTCAACTTTGGAACTTGGATTGATGGTATGTATTTTTTTCCCTTGTTTAGTTCATGAACAATAGTTAGCTTTAAAAGAATGATTGTGTTTATTAAATTTGATTTACGTAGTTGAATTTGATTGCTAGGGACAGGGGATGATTGTTCTTGTTTAACGTGCATTTGTTGGGCTTTGATTTGTTCATGCTTGTGTGAGTTGAAGTGATTAGGAATTGATGAATTTTTGTTCGATAGATTGATATAATCGAAAAGTGACATTTCGATCTTGCTATTGGTGACAGTTGGATGTTAATTTGTCGAGTTAGGGTTTTTCAATTCTATATGATTAGTTGATTAAACACCTTCTAATTGACTTAGCGGCTTTCTGAACCGAAAGGGGAGAAGTCGTAGAAATAGGCTCACATGAGATAGATGATTTTGTAATTGAATAGTCTATAGGTTTTTTATTGAAATACGTGCGTGTCGATGACCCGTCCTTGTTACGAAAAGTTATTGGGATTGGGATAGTTGACTTGTTTTGTATGCTCAAGCTTGTACGTCTATGATTAATCCTTTGTTATGAAGAGTTATTGGGAGTGAACCGCTAGATGTATAAGCGAGAGTGTCAATCTCGAACCGAATGATTAATTGTCCGGTTTTGCTAGAAATTGAATTAATTGTCCCCGACTCCCTAGCTTCTCTGTAACACCCCACTTTGATTTTAAAGAAATTTCGGACTTTCTAAAAATCAGAACAAATTTTTCGAATTCATTTTCGAAATCAAGGGCATTAACCAACACAATTTACTTAGTTCAAGTCTTATCTGGACTCACGGGGATTCATAAACCCGATTTTTCACAAGTTTTTCATTAACCTGATTTACACTTCAACATAATATCCCATATGAACAATTGAAACTTCATAAATCAAACACCATGACTATTCAAGGTTCATAAAAGGTTTTCCAAAACATTTTCAAACATCGAAACATAGTTCGAAAACAGTTTTCACATGTCCAAAACATAGAAAGGTTCATAACGACCATATTATTAAAGCGGAAGCAAAACGAAACATATAATAGACCACCACTCGTCCTTCGTCCCGTCACCCGGCCGCTGCTTAACCTGCATCTGTGAAGAGAAGGTGGGAATGAGCACAAATGATAAAGTAGTGCTCACTACTATGCACATAATAACATGTAAAGATGGTATGGTCGCAGCATGAATATAAATCAATCATCATCGTGTCTCATCTCCTAACAATCACAACAATAACTCACTCATGTGCACATCTATCATTAGCCGTAGAAAGGAGATGCAGAAACCCTAACGACAGGAGTGCGTGCCACTGTAACGGACACGACCTTTCATTAGGTCTTAAGGAGACTTGCCTCGCAAGGGCAACCGTACCGTAACTCGACGGGGACAACCGTACCGACGGCCGTAACAGCTCACATCAGTAGGTTACATGGTTCACATGCATACATTGATCATACCAACAAAACATTAAACAACACGTATGGCATAGACAATTTTATAAGTAAACCCACCTGGAAATTTCGGTAGAAAATGGCACACAAAAGCAAGTACGTAGGATGAGGCACGACTCCTCAAACAGCTACATTTAAGCGAGATAATATATCAATAATCTATCTCACTACTCGACTTTAACATAAAACCCATACTTAATAAAAATTAAGACTTAAGGGTTTTAATCGGATTTTTCGTGGACTTGGAACTCTCTCATTTTTGAAAAAATATGACTCGGAGAACTAAAATTTGAGTCTCGGAACTTAAAATAATTTTCCCTAATTTTTCTCATTTTGAAAATATTTTTAAAATTGAAATCGGTATGAAAAAGGATTCCGGAACACAAAATAGGCTCAAAAAGCCATTTGGGCCGGGCTGTCAAACACTTGCCCAAGACTGCCCCACATTTGGGCTTACTCACACACGCTTTTGGGCCGAAATGCTGGCCCAAATACAGGTTTAAGCGGGCCAGAAACTGGGCTGCTCGCTGGCCAGGTTGCTGAGGAAGATGGGCCGCTCGCGGGCCAGGATCGGGCCTAGCGGCCCACGCGTTTAAGTTGGCCTCAATAAAATAAAAAAAAAAATAAAAAAAATATGAAATTTTTTGCGAGGCTGAGATTCGAACCCTTGACCAACCACACAAACATGCGGATAACTCACCACTGCGCCACTCGATCAATCGATAATTATTATGCAACAAAATATACTAAAGGCTAGCAAACTGAACAGAAAACAAAAACTCAGAAGACGTAGTCGAACAGAGCAGCAAGCTAACATCTACAATTTCTGGGCAATCTGAGATCGAAGAAGATTCTAGATTTACGAGAATAACAAGTTTTCAGAGTTTGAAAATATATTTTGCAACCGGGTTTGCTCATAAAAAGAAAACGACCAAAATAACACCAAATGAACGACGAGGCTCGAACAACCTGTACAATCTAACGATGGCTCGAAATGACAAGACGAGACTCCGAACTTAAAACGATTTTATCACAACAATCTAATGACATTCACGATTATAAAATCGAGAGTTCCAATCTCTTCCGAAAATTCCACGTACGAAAAATACATATAAACAATTAAATGAACCAAAAACAATCCGACTTCAAATCAACTTTCGGTAAACCGAACACATCATATATATAACGTATGATATATGAAATCGACCGCAATAAAGAGGGGATTCGAATAAGTTACCCGACTTCGGGAAACTACGAGTTATCGGACGGGAAACGGGCCCGACAGCGAGTCAGAAAAACGGCTTTGAGCTTGAACCTTCGAACACGGTCTGAAAGCTGCTGGTTCTCGGAGGCTCGACTTGCTCTGCAAGGAGGTCGTCGATGACAAACGAGGACGCTGAAATACTTCAAGCGGGGCTGACCGGAGGTGACAACCGGAAACAATGGTGGACGGCGGCAACTCTGCTCGGAGAATGGACAACGGTTGATCGCTGATCTGAAGGTCCGATGGCTGCTTCTCTGGTCGATGGAAGCTGCTGGTACGTCGCGAGGGCAGTAACGACGGTGGTGGTGGAGGTCTTGCCGGAAGTTGCAGGTAC